CCCATTTCTCGCTATTTTTTTGGAACAAAAAATGTAATCTGATTATCACATGATACTAACAGTTGTCGTTGTCGTCGTCGTTGTTGTTGTTATTGTTGTTATGATCAACCATTTTCATTAGAAAAAAATTGTTTTTGGTATTTTTCTTTCCAATATTATTCCATGTTGTATCATACTAGTAGAAATTAAAATTATTTACAAAAATTGACACTATTTACCATAATTATTTACAGAATTCAAAATGTTTCTTAGGTAACTAAAAGAAATAAAAAGGAGAAGGAGGGGGGGGAAGAAGAAGAAGAAGAGAGCCATGATATACTGTCTGACATATTTGTAAAACAAAGAAAATAGTAATAATTACGTAATTTTCCATATTTCATAATCAATATAAATTGAATTGTTTGTTTGTTTGAATATTCACTGTCGATTTATTGTTTAAATATTTAAAGAATTTTGGCGCGCTCATTGAATGAATACATACAATACTAATAAATAAATAAATATTAGGGTATAATAAAGAGAGAAGATTCTTTTGTTTTTAATTATAGAAATTACAATTTCTTAGTCAAAATTTATTGAAATAATATGTGAACTGTGATTGTTGTTCTTGTCAAATAGTTTCATATTTAGTACTCCTCCTCCCCCTCTTCCTCCTCCTCCTCCTCCTCCTCCTACTACTACTACTACTACTACTACTACTACTACTACTAATAATAATAATAATAATAATAATAATAATAATAAAATGTTTGTTCCGCTTAAGGATACATGTTTTTACTAGACAGTTTAATACCAAATTTACATTTCGTGTCGAAATGCCTAATTGATATGAAAACATTTGTGGATTTTTGTCGATCTATTTTTATAGTTTTAACGATAAATTTTGAGGGTTAGTATATGAAAAACAAATGGTAATTGAATAACACAAAATTCAGTGAAGTGATCATTTTTCAACGACTTTATTATCAAGCTGTACAACTGTATATATATATGGTTAATCAGACGGTTTCATAGATAAGAATATGAAAAGAAGTAGTCTTGACACGGAATTCGGTTGTTCCGTTTTAGAGAACAACCTTAATATAAGTTTGGAATTTAAAGGTGATCGAACATCTGATGTAATCAAGAATAGTTTAACGACAGAGATAAAAAGAACATTTTATGCAGCGAAACTGCGATTAACCTTCACTAGTAGGAGTTTATTTTCTGTATTCATAAAAGATAAGCTACTGCATCTGGTCACCTCCATGTGCATTTACCAGTTCACCTGCTCTTGTGGAGTAAGGTATATTGACTATAGACAGTGCTTACTTTCAACTCGGATACGAGAATATGTCCCAGTTTGGTTCTACAAGGGTGAAAGGGAAGCAGTTAGAAGTTTTATACTTGAACATCTAGTTAACTGTAATCATTCTACTGATCCACAGTTTGATTTTAAGGTTGTATATCCGGTTCGTTCGAATCTATCTAGATTTCTTCGTATTGAACTCCTAAAAATAGCCGAAGCTCTTACCATCAATGAGCTCAAACCAGGACTATGCGTACAAGAGAAGTGCGTCTTATCGTTATCGTTACTTTGGCCTTAATATTATTATTATTACTGTATTCCCCTTATCTTATATTCTTATTATTTTATTCATATATACTGATCATATCACCTTATTTTTATACCTCTATGACCTTTAATGACCCTTGATTATTGTGACAAAAACATCTTCATCATCTTATTACATTCATTATATCTAATGTTATTATTCGTATTACGTAATCTAGTATTATAATCTTTTTATTACATCCTCTTGCCCAGCTTAATAATAAATTCGTTAAAATAAGATTCCTTCGCTGAACTTCGTGTTACCTGTCAAATAGTAATTGGTTTATATGTTATTGTGAAATATGTGCGCAGTTTTTATAAGTGAATTCTTTTTTCATTCAAATATGTAAAAAAGGTATAGTATCTTAATAAAATAAATTATCTTTGGCTGCAACCATATTGAAACTTAAATATATTAATATAGAGTAATTTTAAAGGTTACTACTGTCTGATCATAGATGTCTTCGAAGTATCATTCGTGTAGTTTGGAACCATTGAGTAAGGAATCTTGAGGTTAGGCAAATGGTGTTACTTAAATATAAGAAGGCTAGTGATGAGATAGAAAATCTTCATCATTTGAGGTGCCTGAGACAAATGTACGTATACTCAATCATCGCCTACCCCAACGAGCGATGTTAAGTGGTGCAAGAGTAGAGTAGTAGAAAACTAAAGATAGGGGGATTGCACCGAAACTTAGCATTAAGCTGTGTAAATACCGACGCTTGAACTGAGGCATTTTATTGGATATAGACCACCTGATTGAAGTCTGTGTGATTATTATGATTTAAAGTTATAGATGTTAGGTGACATAGCTCAGAATTGTCCACTACTGCTCTGGTGCATTGACTCTTTGTTTTCTTTTAGTATCTGGGTGTTAAAATTCCTCTACACTTATTTTTCTTTTTCCATGCCTATTCTACTCCTCCTCCTCCTCCTCCTCCTCCTCCTACTACTACTACTACTACTACTACTACTACTAATAATAATAATAATAATAATAATAATAATAATAATAATCGTAATACTGATGTTTCTACTATTACTTATCACTACATACAAGTTCGTCATTTATATACAGAAAAATATAAACTCAATATAGTCTAACATTTTATATGCCAATTTAAATATGCTCACTTAAAGTACAGGTATGTTTGGTTGATCATTCATGAATAATGTCACTTAGTTAAATGATTCATTAAAACAGCTTAATTTACATCGGAATAGACTAATCGTTATATGAAATCTTTTACTTATTATCTATCATCTTAAAAATAACTACAAATTATTTATTTGAACACATAAATATTGGTACAAAGGGGGCACTGAATACATATGCGCCTCACAAGTTACTTGATTTGAAAGTGGACTGTAATATTGCTCGGGTGCCTAGACCGAAGTAGATGGTTTCCTTAAGCGGGGGGGGGGGTCACACTAGTAGCCTTCGACCTAAATGTCTGATCTACAAGAAAGTGGAACAATGTCAGAAGATAATTTCTAACAATTAACCGGTTGAACAATTTAAACAAATAAAAATGTTGAAATGTTCAAACAGTAATTACTTAGTCTTATTTATTACGAACTTACTTGTGATTCAGATGATTTTCTAATTGATTGTCATACTTTTATAAGATTGATCGTTTTCATTATTTATATGGTTATTGTCATAAAACATAATAATAGATAGTTTGAAGAATAACTGTGTAATGAGTTAGCACATATAAACTTCTTTGAAGAATTTTAGATTGTTAGAAAAGTTCAGGAATTTCTTTCATTTATATTCAATCTACGATGTTTACCGGTGTAGGAGTAAATAGTAAGAGTAAAGACATGGTATCAATTCATAAAATTGTAAACTGGTTGATTAAACCATAATAGTAGATGTAAACTATCTGAATAGAAGTATGCATACTTATGGTAATCAATAATTGAAGACGATGGGTAAAATGATTTAGAATCGATCACATTGGTACAAATTTAACCTTTCTTTTTCCTCTCTTAGATTTGGCAATTTAAACAATTAATTTATGTTTCTTTGTTTTAAAATTCATTCTTCCACCTCAAATCATATTATCTATGATAAATAGGTTTTAATATTACTGATATTGTTATTATATTCACTACTCTGGTATTTGTCATCATAACTTCATTATACTGAGCTGACATGGTTTAGCAATATAAGTCTAGATGGATATTTTTCAAGTTCCACTTTGTTGATCATTGATTAACTTTCTATGTATGATATCAGTTTCTCAAGAAAAAGAATTAAAAATTAAAGTTTCAAAAATTTCTCATCTTTTAGTTTTTGTAACCCCTAAATGGTTTCCAGGAAATCCTAAATTCTTTAAGATGATTAATGTCTTTTCATAATTCAGTTGTAAGTGTTTTAATCTTCCCGTTTTTAGTGTTAGGGGCTATAAATAATCAATCTTTCCTCTACATGTACATTCTCAGCTGACTGTATCGATATTACTGTCAGTCATAAGTTACATAGACTCAGTTCTAAGTAGAATACGAGTTGGTGTTCGAAGTAAAAAGCATTGGGTTCGTGTTTTGGAATGGACATCAACATTGAAGTGCAGATATATCCATCTAAGTCCCATATAAGATGAAACGTGCATCTTGAATCTCACTGGTATCCACATTCCAAATATATTGAAACCATTGTGATTACTATATATAGATGATAGTATCAACACTAAATGTTTAAAAGTCAATTGTCAGTAGTTCCTTCAATTTCCATCAGTAGATGAAACAGACAACTTACCAACTGTCTATATTAATTTGTTTTAGTTATTGAAGCCATACAGAAATTTACAATCCATTAGTGAACAATCTTTTCATAATAGATATGTATTTTAGATTCCACTACTAACCATTATCTTTTGCTTAAAAGAGGTTAGTCTGTTCACTTCATATTCTTTTACATGAATTTGATTAATTGTATCATTTGGAGATATTATATAACAGGTTTTATTTTTCACTGAGCAAATTAGTTACCAATGTAATAATGATTATGTAATATGTCTTACATTAAAAATCTTGTATATTCATTGAATCAGAAGACAGTTGGAAGATATATAGTTCGTGGTTCAAACTATGAAAATTCAACAGTTTACACAAAATCCGAAAATTGATTATTATCATGTACTCACTTGTGAACAATATAGAGACTGTGTTTGTTAATCACGTGTTGTATTACTTTATATAGTAGGTGAGCTTCTTTGAAAAGAATTTGTTAGAAATTCAATAAAGTTTTTATAGCAACTCAATATAACTAAGCATTAACCGTACATTTCTATACCTGGTAATATTGTGTAGTTAGTTTATGAATTGATTTATTTTTACCGCTCTAAATGGAAAAAAAATACATTGAATAGGTTCTTATTTATTTTTGTATTTTCCCTGCATGATCATTCATAGTACTACTACTACTACTACTACTACTACTACTACTACTACTACTACTACTACTACTACTACTACTACTACTACTACTACTACTACTACTACTACTACTACTACTACTACTACTACTACTACTACTACTACTACTACTACTACTACTACTACTACTACTACTACTACTACTACTACTACTACTACTACTACTACTACTACTACTACTACTACTACTACTACTACTACTACTACTACTACTACTACTACTACTACTACTACTACTACTACTACTACTACTACTACTACTACTACTACTACTACTACTACTACTACTACTACTACTACTACTACTACTACTACTACTACTACTACTACTACTACTACTACTACTACTACTACTACTACTACTACTACTACTACTACTACTACTACTACTACTACTACTACTACTACTACTACTACTACTACTACTACTACTACTACTACTACTACTACTACTACTACTACTACTACTACTACTACTACTACTACTACTACTACTACTACTACTACTACTACTACTACTACTACTACTACTACTACTACTAAAGTTGGCATTTTGTGCTGATTACTTGTATCTTATTTAAATTTACTAATTAACTGAGTTACGTTGTTTAATGATTAGAATTACTTGACAGGAAACCTTTTTTGAACTTGGTTTCGTGCTGTTTGACATTCCTCAATTAGGTTCAACTGTACTCTTGAGGGGAATGGTATTCCTTATGGATTCCAAATGTGAATTCCTTAATTCCACAGTCCGAAACTTTACCACTGGCTTATACAGGCTTCGATTGGTTTTTTGTTCAGATATTTAATGAATAGTTCTATAACACTGTGCATAATATATTATATTTGGTTTTCTCAATGACTTCAAATACTTTTCGAATTTTTAATGTCATTATGAAAGTAGACTTTTTGTGAAATATAAGTAAACTGAAAAAACGTTTGGTGACAATATGTGCCTTTTGAATGATGAGAAAGAGTTCAGTGTATTGACTGATAAGCTGGATTTCGAGATTTCAGAGATTGATTGTCATTAATGCGATCCACTGGTAGGATGCTCTGACATTTTCTTTTAAGATAACTGGTTCCTTCAGTAATATGCTTTATTTATTGGAAAATCCCTTTTGGTTAGGGATAGAGGTTTTCAAACGTAACAAATATATCTAGGTAATGGAAGTGAAGCAAACCAACATATGGTGGCTAAGGGGTGAATCGGTCAGTTATTTGTTACACGTAAAAATACTGAAAAATTAAACAACCTGATATTCGCTATTTTGTGGACGATTGACATAAGAGATTAGGCTTAAACAATGAATATACGTCCAGAATATTTTATTTATTGTATACATAGAAATTACATTGTTACAGTAGATGGTGAAAGTGTACGCTACCACCGGTGCTACATTTTTTAAAAAGACTACTTAAATTGCTGGAAACGTGCTTAAAGATTTTTTGTCAAATACTTTTTTGTGTGATATATTCGGGAGCGTGTTTTTCATCCAGAAATGATTACGTTTTCAGTGTTAATTGAATTCTATAGGTCAAATTGCAATGCGTTTACCATATTGAATAGATTGAACATGGGTAGCAGTGGAATCCGGGATGCGTGTTTGACAGCTGGCTGCTGCTGCATCCCAGAGTCGATGTCCATTATAGGACTCGGATCCAGTACCTGTCACTCTAGACGTCATCGTGTCATTCAATTAGTCACTGAGTTTAGATAGTCTCACTCCGTTTATTCTACGTAAACATTTTTTGTAATGGTTATATCGAGGTGATTAACACAGGATGCATATAAGCCAACTGTGACTGATCAGATTTCAGTCAAAATACTGAAACGTAATAAACCAAACCATTACAAATTGAATTAAAACGTGATCATTAGTTTGAATCCATTGAAATCATATACACCATGATGAGATGTTATATGGTAAGAGGTAGTTTACAAGAAACTCTGGACTCATATTTATCCTATTAACGGACACACATATTAAGAGAATTGGTGCTCCATTTAGAAATTGAACGTATATCACCTAAATCTTTACAATCTAAATATGTTAATAGTTGAAATGATGATTCACTTAAAGCTAAACTACCCTGGAAAACTTGGAAGCACTGGACGGCCGTTTCGTCCCATTGTGAGACTCCTCAGCAGTGCGCAACCACGATCCCGCCTAGCGAGATTCGAACTCAGAATCGAACGCAGGACCTATCAGTCTCGCGTGTAAGAGCTTAACCACAATACCACTGAGCCAGTCGGCATCCAACGGTGTTAATGTCAATCTTCAACTTATCCACGAAATCGCGCCACCGTACACCATTGTCTTCAGTGAGCTGATATCTCACAACAGATCTGGTTGAATTCCATTGGTAACGAATTCTCACTTGAACTCCAGGAAATGCCTCTTGAAATCTGTCACTAGTGGGCATTTGATTATTATTATCAGAAGGGGTTTTGTGGAGATTTTTAAACTGATCTGGGTCTTGTGTTCGAATCTCACAGGAGGTCAGGATCTTGGATGGAGTCCCATATTAAGACAAAAAATTCATCCAGTGCTTCCATGTTTTCTATGGTCGCCTAACTTCAATTCACTCATGATTTCAACTAGTGAAATTTCTAAAAAACAAAACGCCACAAAACCCCTTTTGATAATTAATTATTTATTAAATATATACTCTTTTCTTAATTACAATGAATATATATACATATTATCCCCTACTTAAAACTTTGTTCACTATCCAACCTTGACCTAGTTTATAGAATAATTTGAGATTTATTATAAATGAATAGTTTATCAACAACAACAACAACAAAATGTTTAATAGACAAAAATTGAGAATCAACATGACAACATAGAACAAACAACATAGCAACATAACTTGCGAGAGAGAAAAAAATATATCACCACATTTTTGACCAATTTAATTATTACTCATTAAATTATATTTATGATTCATTTACATCTTTTTTTTCTTTTTTTTAATAAACGGTTTTTCTCTCTTTTTTTTCTTTTTTTCTTTTTTTTTATTTGAATTTTTCTCAATTAAACCTAAAACACACGCCCAAATGTAAGAAATAATAAATACAATTGACATTTGTTTAGTTACAATTATAGAATGAATTAAACTTTATCGTTTACATAGTTTGATATACAATCTTTTATGATGAAAGTAGTTAAGTGAATAGATTTTTTTAAAAAAAAGAAAGAATAAATCAATGTTCTATTTTCTTTTCTACATTGTGTGTTGTGGTCATTAGATAAATAAAAGATAATAATCAGTGTTCAGACTTATGTGAACAAGGTGCATATGTATGTTTATGTGTGAGTGTGTATGTGTGTGTGTGAATGTACATTTCATTAGATAGTTTACAATTGTAATCTTCAAGAGATTAGTGACATGTTAAATAAAGGAGTTGATGAATTGATTAAATTGCTTTTTAGCTAAATTTAAAGATGGGATACATGTTTATGAAGTTGTATTTGTAATGATTAAATTACGAGTAACAATTGAGATCTATTAATGAACTAATATTATTTATATATTCTTATAGTATAACTATTCAGTGATTAGAGTATGTATATTTATATTCCCCTTGTTATAAGCTTCGTTTTGACCTATAAATTATTATTGTACGATTTACTGTTCATATGTTATGCTCAGTTTATTAATTACTGTCTCCTACGTTCACAGCTACCTTTGGCTATATTTTGTACGAGTGTTATATTCTTTTTTTATGGTGTGATGCGGTCTGTTTGGTTGATATATAAACCCATTATGTGTGAAATAAATGATTCGTATAGCGGAGGCTGTTGTTAGCATTCTGGACTCGGCTGGACGAACTAGGCGAGCAACGGACCAATAGGATGCTAGGCTGATCAGACCGAACGAACGTCATTGGTTTAGTATAGTATAAGGGTGAATAAGTCATATTTTGATTGACGAATAAATTACGTGATAATTAGCTGGCCATAAATACACAACAGTATTCCATCTACCTTCCAGTGTTTAATGTTTATAATATCCCATAATTGATTTCAAGAGTGATATGCTGATTAGTCCTTATTAGGATAAGTACATTTTATATGAAATGCCTCCATACAGTCATTATATCACAATTTGTTTATATTGGTTAAATTATATCCAACTGTGGAGTTTAGTGTTGACCAACTAGAACGAAACACATCAAATGAATTCCACTGTCAGTCACAATCTACATATGCTCCAAATATGTAATAATGAAAATAATTAGTGAAATCACTTTAATGAGCTCTTAGTGTATGTTGACTTCTGTTGTAAAATGATTCCACTTTACTATCTTTCTAATCCTCCCTCTTTTTATTCAATTAATCATAGCTTATTCAATTGTTTCTCTTAGTTATCAATTCCTTGTGTTGTTTGTTGACTAAGTGTTGAGTATAAGTTTAATATATCATTTGATGATCTATTTATCAGCTTTCACATTTAGTGATATGATACATGTTGGTGAATTTATATTCCATCTATCTTCCAGTGTTCAATATATCTACAATATCTAACATTTACTCACACATCCAGTGATTCAATACTTCACATGAGAATATGATTCCATCTAAGAATTCCATTTCAAATTGTAATTTGTCATTCGTATACTTTTCTAATTGGACAACTTGAGATATGGTACAATAGGCAATTTCCAGATAATGAATATAGATAGATAGATAGATAGATAGATAGATGGATAGATAGATAGATGGATAGATAGATAGTTAGTTAGATAGATAGATAAAGATGAATGAAATGAAGTTGTCAATGAAAGTTCTTATGATACACTGAATGAATGACGAACTCCTTGAAACTGTTAGATATTGTAGGTTTGTTGAATATTACAAATCTGATTGAAATAAACTTTTGGCAATAGTTTGGAATTTTTAATAAAACTTGTTTATAAATTAATTCCGTTCATTATCTTTATGATGTATGAATGACTTTGTAAGGATATTCATTAGATCAATTACTAGTCATTGAAATGTTAACGAATATCAAAACTGTTTTTATTTTTAAAATAAATTTATCTCTGTTGTTATTAACTTGATTGTATTGACATCTGTAAATGAACTAACTTGATTACAGTACTCGTTAGATTAGACCGAGTAAAGTCCAATATTCTAAAAACCTTCATTTTGTACACCAGAAATTCAGACAAATAGTCACATGCAAGTTTTGTAATTTACACTTATCATTCACTTGATTATCTGTGTGTATTATGAAGCTATAAATAGTAAATTGTAATTGGGCACAAAGCCAAGACATTTTTTTTGATATATAACTACGTAACAGTTTCAGGATTAATAAAGAATGTGAAAGTGCAGTTAACGTAATATGTACAGCTAAACTAGCTAGGAATGAGAAATATTAGTCAGAATCATGGCGCAAATATCAAAATAGGGTTATGAGTTATGATCAACAGTTAAGGGTCCCCAAAACGACACCTTAATCTTAGTTCCTCTGTTTTTGTCGTCTAGTGATTAACAAAATATGTTACGACCTCAAGATGCTTGCCAAACACGCTACAATTTATTGTTT